TTACCAAGAATGCAAAACATGAGTTAATCTTAAACAGCTATCTTCAACCTATACAGTTAAACAAAAGACACAAAACAATTGCTTATATTTAATAATGTCTATTTTAACAGGTCTTTGTAACAGGAGAACAATAAAATGCATTATTATATATAGTGACAAAAGTCTTCCCAGGGCTGCGGTTACCTCTCTGGAAGTCCTCTTCCGAAGTCCCTTCCATAAAGCAACATGACGCCTCTGGGCTCCCACCTCCAACCGCTTCCACCTCCAGTCAGGGCACTCCACACGGTTAAGGGGCGGGGCGCCCTCCGCCTCGGCCCCGCCCTGTGCTCAGGCCCCGCCCATGCACCTCGCAGTGTTCAATCCAGCGGCCAAGTTAGTGCCTACTCCTCCTTATGCACGCCTCCTCCAGGTTTGAACTTCAAGCTCTGCCCTGAATTTATTAATCTCTGCTTCTGGGAGACTCTGCCCCTTTTACCTCTCATCACTGCCTGTGGGGACTCAGCTTTCTAGTCTTCCATCCACCTCACATATTCCTAGTATGGGGCGGCATATATTGAGCTGAGCCACAGACTCCATTTTGCAAGTGAGGAAACAGAAGCTCTAGAATCCCATTCTTCCTTTCTCCACCCAAAGTGTATCACCTATTTGGTAAAGAAGCTGGGAAAATGGCCTGAAAGTCACAGCACAGAAAAACTGTTAGATTGTGTGAGCTGGGGCAATTCCTGTCACTTCTAGGCTGGAATTTCCTAGCTGTTCACATGAGGAAGTTGTCCTATTGATAGATAGAGTCCTTTTCAGCTACAAAATAACCAAGATTTAAAGAAGCCAGATATAAATTCAATTGACAAAGTAGGCTCTTTATTTCCCAAGGTTGAATCTGCACTCCAAGCTGGGAACTTTACATTTAAGCATCAGCCTGGAAAATGTATGTTATGTAACTCAAGACCCACACAAACCAAAAGAGCTACCACTTTCATAGAAAATTAATTATCCTCTCTAAGTCTTACTTTACATAATATGAGAATAGTAACAGACCTTTCCTCACAGGCTTGAAGGGAAAATTCCATGAACTCACTTTGTAATACACTCTACAGTGCCAATGGCACCAGGTCTTAGTTGGTACAAACATACAACCTCCTTGACACATATTTCCAAAAGCACCCTGGATAGAACGGTGAGTCCCATCACCTCGATCTCTGGGAATTTGAGCCACAGCTCTCCCCGTACCCCAAGACTCAGCACTGGTCTGAGGACTTGCTAATTCACTGATAGCATAGGGCTGTCTGTTATTTTTGCACAAGTTGGTGGTGTGAACAAAGTTCACAATATCTAGCTGGATGAGAGCCTTGAACACCTCCAGCAAAGTGACATTTTTACCAGATGACTTCACCTTTTCAGGGTACACTAATATCAGTGGATGAGCACACGCCATGACGGGGAGAGGAGAGAACCATGCTCCTCTCGACCCAGCCTGCTCTCACAAAAAAAGCTCTTTTGTATTTTTTTTTTTTTTTTTAAGAATTGCCCATTTAGGACCAACAGATGGTATAGTGGTTACATTGCTGGACTCCTACATGACCAACCACACTTCAAATCCTGGACCCAATGGCTTGAAATTCAAGCTGGGCACATGTACATGCCTGCAAAATCCTGGGAGAAGAATAGAAGGGATTGTGGATATGGCCATTCCCCCGGGGGGTGGTTTCTCCCTTTCCCTCTCACTGTCTCTGTTTCTCTCCAGTGAGCACACATACCCTAAGGCAAAAACCTCTCCAAAAAGAATTACCTCTTCAATTTTATTTTATTATTTTTTGAGAGGTTTTTGCTATAGGGCACGTGCTCTCGCCAGAAAGACAGAGAGAAACAGAGAGAAAGAAAGCAAGAAATCACCCCCCAGGTGGGATGACCACACTGCAATCCCTTTTCCTCCATTCTCCTCTCGGGATCTTGGGCATGCATGCACACTGCCCAGTGTGAGTTTTAAGCCACCGGGTCCGGGACTCAAACCGAGGTCGACTACATAGGAGTCCAGCGACATAGCCATTAACTAACTGCTGGTCCCAATTTTATTTATTTTTTAATTTGACCAGAGAGAGACAGAAAGAGGGAGAAAGAAAACAAGCCACCAGTTCCAGTACTCAAACTGCAGTTGTCCATGTGGGAGTCCAGCACCCCAATCACCATGCCACCTATTAGCCCCAGCCCAGAGTGTTTTTCTTTTGTAAAAAAATTATTTATTTAATTTTATTTATTATTATTCTTTATTTTGACTGAAGAGAGAAAGAGAGGGAGAGTTAGAGTGAGAAAACAAGCCACCAGGTCTGGGACTCAAACTGTGTTTGGCCATGTGGGAACCCAGTGCCTCAACCACTACACCACCTCTCGGCCCCCCAGAGTGTTTTTCAAGGTGCCAGGTTCAGGACTTGATCTGAACATCTGGCCATGTGGAATCCAGCACCTTAACTACCACATCACCTTTTGGCTCCAGAGGCAGATTCTTTCATGCCTAATTCAGGTGACAAACCAATTAGAGAAAAGGGCTGAGTGCTTTATGTATATAATCTCCTGAAATCTCCTTAATAATCCTATAGCCATAGAACTATACTTAACCCTTTTTGAGGGTTTTTTGGCTTTGAATCTTTAATGTGGATATATATATATATATCCAGTGAGAGGGAAAGTGAGAAACCAATATATGTATATATTTATATATGTATGTAAATATATATACATAAATGTGTATGTGTGTGTATATATATATATGTGTATATATATATATATATACATACACACACTATTAAGCTCAAGAACACTATGTTCCATGAATCACTGGGTCAGGATAGGGAATATGCACGGCAGAACAAATATATACACTAACAAAGGTATGCACAGTTACACAGTGAAAAAACTGGTGCCTGGGATACTTAAGTTTTGGTTTTCTCATCATTCAGCAGCATGTTGGGGATCCTGCGACTGATGAGGAATAGATGTCCAGACTCTGGATACTATAGGATGCCCTCTAACACATTCACCTCCAGCAGCATGTGGTGCATCTTCCTCAGAAAGTTCTTGTCACGCTCATAACCCTTAATCAGCACCTTGGGCAGCTCAGGCACCTCAACTGCTGCCTCCAGATGCACCACTCACTCTACTTTGGGTATAATAAAGTGTCACAAAACCTGGGTTGAACTCTATAGGGTTGATGCAAACCTTGGTGGTCTGGAAGCATAGGAGGGCCCCACCTCCCACACATGTGAGCGAAACAGATGTGTTGTACCCACACACTCTCCCTTAATCCCAGTTTTATTCTTAATCTGCACTGGAAAAAAAATGAGGCTCAGAAAAGTCTAATGACTTGTCTAAGGTTAGATAGCTTGAAACAGCCTAGAAACAATATCTGGTAGAATAGAAAAGCCATGGATTTTGGATTTTGACAGATGAGTTTAAATTCAGGCTCTAATACTTAGTGGTCATGTAGCTTTAGGCAAGTTATCAATTGCCTAAAAGTGAACCCTACTCACCTAGTCTATGAAGTAGGGGCTCATCCAAGTGCTTATTTTATGAGGTGACTTTAAAGACACAATGCATTGGGACCAGTAGATGGGATAGTGGTTACATTGCTGAACTCCCATGTAGTTGACGGTTCCAGTTCCAAACACAGCAGCTTAAAACTCAGACCACCACATGTGCTCCCGTGCCCAAAATCCCAAAAGGAGAATGGAGGAGACAGGAATGTGGTGTGACCATCCTTCCTGGGGGTGATTTCTCATTTTCTATCTCTATGTCTCCATTGAGCACATGCACTGTCGTATAGTAAAAATCTCTAAAAAAAAAAATTAGGGGGAACCAGCAGTTAGCATAATGGCTATGTCGCTGGACTCCCACGTAGTCGACCGCGGTTCGTGTCCTGGACCCGGTGGCTTAAAACTCACGCCGGGCGCGTGTGCGTGTGTGCCCAAGATCCTGAGAGGAGAATGGAGGAGAAGGGATTACGGCGTGACCATCCCCCCTGGGGGGTGATTTCTCACTTTCTGTCTCTATGTCTCTCTCTGTCTGTCTGGCGAGCGCACGCGCCCTACAGTGAAAATCTCTCTAAAAAAAAAAAATTAAATGCTCTAAGATCAAAACATCTAGCACAGTGCACATCACATAGTATATGCTTAAAATCAAAAATGGTAAGTATATGAATAAATATATACGCCTTTTTTCTTATTTTTGATTTTTAAAAAATTGGTTATTTAGACAAAAATTAAAATATAGTATGAAACATATGCTGAAACAAAAAGTGAAGTGGTAACAGCACAAGGGACAGGAGAAGGGAAATGGAATTATATTGTTAGACATACTACCATTGAAGATAGACTGTACTAAAGGTAACTATCATATAATAAAATGGGGTATTAGACCGGTCGGAGTCCTGGACCCGGTGGCTTAAACTCACGTGCCCAAGATCCCTCTGTGTTTCTGGCAAGCAAGCACACATGCCCTATAGCTAAAACCTCTCCAAAAAAAAAAAGAGCTAATAGGTCAGACAGAGATAAAATGGAATCAATTTAATATATACACACACATACACATTTAAGTATATATATTTACATACATATATATATAAATATATACATATTTGTGTGTGTATATATATATATATATATATATATATCCGCATTAAAGATCCAAAACCAAAAAAATCCTCAACAAGGGTTAAGTATAATTCTATGGCTATAGGATTATAATACCAAAGATGGGACTAGCAGATGGTGTGGTGGTTATGTTGCTGGACTCCCAAATAGTGGACTGTGGTTCTAGTCCCGGACCTGACAGCTTGCCTCCTCACTTTCTAATGAAAAAGACTTCTGGTTTGGGACTACAGTTACCACAGGAGGGCAGGCCCAGATTACTCCCAGTAGCATCGGCCATTCACGAGTTCAACCCACAGGTCTGAGGCTCGGGACACCGTCCTTCCAGCATCCAGCCTCCCTACGCGCCTGCGCACTTGCGGCCAAAAGGGGCACTGGAATCTTGGCGCCGCAGACGCCGGGGCTGGGCGGTCAGCAGAGGGGGTAGAGGCCTGAGAGCGGTGAGCCGCCAGACACGAGTGTGACCGCTGCTTTTCAGGGCAGACCAAGGTGGGACAGGCCCACTTTTGAGACCCAGAGTGGGGGTGCGGGAAGGGTGCCCGGACCTCAGGCAGCTGTGCGTTTCCCAGAGGTTCTGTGGTGCTGAGGCCTCGAGGCTCGAGCGGCAGTAACGGTGCGGGCCCAGTTGGAGGGTGCGGCCTAGTTTGCAAGGCGAGACCGCGAGCCCCGCCACCTCCGTCTCGCTTCAGCCCCCTGGTCTTGGCTGTAGAGAAAAGAAAGGCCCAAGAGGCAAGTGGGAGGTGAAGCCTCCTGAATGACGGTCCCCGGCAAAACGCCGGGACCTAGATTTGGGGCGTGTCTCTGGGGCTTGAGAGGACTCGCTGGACAGTTCCTAGGAAGACGCTGTGAGCTGCCCAGGTTCGGGGGTGGAGTTGGCGTGGGCAGTCCAAGTGTCTGAAATGGTACCGAGAGCAGCAAACCCATCCACCACCGGCGACTGCGGACCTTCTCTAGTCTCCAGCATTTGCATGCAGGTGGGAGATAACTAGGGCTGGGGAAGCTCGGAGGGTGGGTTCTGACTGAGTCAAAAAAGGCAAGCCTGTGCTGTCATGAACCTTGTTTACCTGGCCCTTCCAGTCTCCAGGGTAGACGCTTGAGAAGGTGAAACACGTTGGTGCTGCTGTAAAAGCCAGCTTCCGTGTGAGTTTGTGCTGCTGCTTTGTTTCTGTGAAATATGCATTTGGTTTTTAGGATACAGGATCATTCAGTTTCCTACCCTTGACAGATCCTGCTTAAGAATGGTCTATTCTTTGATTTGGGCCTTAGGATTCCCCTTCCTAATGGCAGGGGAAGTAATAAATAAATTCTCCTTTCTAGTGCCCACTTCATGCAGTTCTAAATTAATTAATTGTGTGTTATACGGTACATTCAGATACTCTGTGAGCACTGTAAGGATTCTGATGTTATGGAAATAGCTCTACTGGAGTAAGTTAATGTTCATACTTTGTTTTTAACTAATTTGTTAAGGAGTAATTTTTGGTTTTGAGATGTCTAATGATTCTGGGGTAGGAGTGGATTTTTTTCTAAGGAATCCATTACTGGAAATTTTTGCTACTATATGTGATTTAAGGTTTGGCCATATGACTTTATTTGGGTCTATCTTTGGATAGACTAGGAGAAGCATAATGTAGTGAAGTGATTGAGAATTTTGAACTGGATTAAAAGGATTTGAATCCTTGCTGCAGCTTAAATTCTGTGTCAGGTTGGGCAGTCTCTCTGTGCCAGTTTCCTCATATGTAATGGGATATAATTCGCGGATTTGTTTTGAAGATGACATGAATTAATATCTGTAAATCTCTTATTTAAGAGTGCCTGGCACATAGTACTCAATTAACACTAGCTATTGCTATTAAATGATGATGCTTAGTCATCCCCTGTCAACTTTCAGTATTCCCAGGGGCAATGAAAAATGTGAGGTTGATTAGATGGATGCCTGTAAACAAGAAAATGAGCCAGATGGTCAAGTGGACCAGAGCAGGGATTAATAATATGAAGTCTTTAGGCTTTTGTTTTTTCAAAGTTGTTTATTTGTTTTGTTTTTGCTATAGGGTACTTGCTGAGTTATCCTTCTGGGAGGAATGGCCACACCACTGTCCCTTTTCCTCCATTCTCTTCCTGGGACTTTGGTCATACCTACTCATGCACCTGGTGTGATTTTTAAGCCACCAAGCCCAGAACTAGAACTGTGGTCCACTGCATAAGAGTCCAGTGCCTTGACAATCATGTCACTTGCTGGCTCTAGTCTTTGGACTCTTTATGGGCTTTCAGGTTAACAGAACTCTCTTAAGATTATATGCAGAATTGTATATATTTGTAAATGGCTGTTTTATTAGGGGGAGAGAAAGTCTATCTTTTCATGATATTATCAAAGTTGTTTAAGGCCCAACAAAATTGATCGCTGGTCTTGCATCAGAGTCTAAAATAACTGCATATGACTTTGGGGATATTCTTTTACAAAATTAGTATCCAGCAATATGAGAATGGTTAAATCACACTTCATCTATACAGTAGAATGTTCTACAATAGAAAAATTATGTTTATTGTTAGTCATAAGAAAAAACTATATAATATTGAGACATATTTATTGTTATGAAAAAGAATCTTCAAGCAGTAAGTTATATATGGATTTTGAATACTATGATAAAGGTTTATACGATTTTTTTTAGTGGGGCCCAGGAGTGGCACAGCAGCACCCTAACTGGACCCACATGGGAAAGGCCCTGGGTTGACATTCCCATACCCCGGTGAGTACCCAGGGCACATGGCCATGATCCAGGCTGGCTGAGACTGGAGGTGGATCACAGTGTGTGGGTACTGCTGCGGTGCCTGTTCATTTCTTTCTGTTATGGAAGAAATAAATAAACTTAAAAAAAGATCTTTTATAGTGATTTTTAGGGAATTATTTATTTAATTTTACTTATTCATTTATTTTAATTTGGGGACCAGCAGTTAGTGTAATGACTGTGTCGCTGGACTCCCATGTAGTTGACTGCAGTTCAAGTCCCAGACCTGGTGGTTTAAACCCACGCTGGGCACGTGTGCATGAGTGCCCAACATCCAGAAAGGAAAATGGAGGAGAAGGGATTGCGGTGTGGCCATGCCCCCTGGGGATGGGGGTGATTTCTTGCTTTCTGTCTGGCAAGTGCACACGCCCTATAGCAAAAACCTCTCCCCCCAAAAAAGGAGCCATTTATTTTAATTTGACCAAAGAGAGACAGAGAGAAAGAAGGAAAGTGAGAAAGCAAGCCACCAGGTCCAGGACTTGAACTGTGGTCAGCCATGTAGGAGTGTTTAGCGCCTTAATCACCACACCATCTGCTGGCCACATTTTGTAGTAATTTAAATACCAAATTGCAAGTGCTTGATAATTGGTTATTGGTTGGAGCTAAGGAGGAATAAACTTGAATTACTGTGAAATAAAAACGTGTTTTTGTTGGCTGTGCGTAGTATCTCTTACTTCTCTTACTGACTTTGGAAATACCATGAACCAGGAGTGTGATCTTTCACAGAAGGATCTTGGGTTGTTGATGAGATACAATATTCAGGAACTCATAGGAATTATTATTATTTTTTTTAAGAGAGATTTTTGCTATAGGGCACATGCACTTGCTGGGAAGACAGAGACAGAGAGACAGAAAGCAAGAAATCACCTCTCCAGGGGGTGTGGCCATGCTGTAATCCCTTCTCCTCCATTCTCCTTTTGGGATTTTGGGCACATATGCACACACACCCAGCATGTTTTAAGCCAGTAGGTCCAGCACTCAAACTGCAGTCAACTACATGGGAGTCCAGTGATGTAACCATCGTGCCATCTGCTGGTCCCAAGAAGATTTTTTTTAATTAATTAATTTGTTTATTTATTTTAAAAGCTTACTACAGGGCGGGACCAGCAGTCAGTGTAATGGCTATGTTGCTGGACTCCCACTTAGTCGACCGCAGTTCGAGTCCTGGACCCGGTGGCTTAAACTCACGCCGGGCGCATGTGCATGCGTGCCCAGGATCCCGAGAGAAGAATGGAAGAGAAGGGATTGCGGTGTGGCCATCCCTCCTGGGGGGTGATTTCTCACTTTCTGTCTCTCTGTCTCTCTCTGTCTGGTGAGCGCACACTCTCTATAGCAAAAACCTCTTCAAAAAAAATAATAAATAAACAACTTACTACAGGGCATATGCAACCCCCAAAAGAGACAGAGAAAGAGAGAGAGGGAAAGTGAGAAAGCATATGGCCAGGTCCAGGACTCAACGGTAGTCAGCCATGTTTAGTGGCACTAGTCTGGCATCTTCACCACCACACCACCTGCTGGCCTGGCCCTACATTTCTTAAGATTATAGAGAGTTCAGTTAAATTAGGAGATTTCAATTTAATTTTTAAATTCATTTTAAAATTTCATAATTAAAAATTTTTTTGAGAGTTTTTTTCACTATAGGGCGCGTACGTTCGTCAGACAGACAGAGAGAGACATAGAGACAGAAAGTGAGAAATCACCCCAGAGGGGATGGTCACACTGCAATCCCTTCTCCTCCATTCTCCTCTCGGGATCTTGGGCACGCACGCACATGAGCCCAGCGTGAGTTTTAAGCCACCGGGTCCGAGATGCGAACTGCGGTCGACTACGTGGGAGTCCAGCGACATAGCCATTACGCTAACTGCTGGTTCCCAAAATTTCATAATTAAAATTTTAAGTTTTTTCCTCATCTATTGATGCTTGTTTTACTTTAATTATTTTCAAATCTGATCATATGTTGTTTTGTAAACTTTTTGTTTCTTTCAGTATATCTGAAGTATTTTCCATTCCTTAACGGTTTTCTAAAACAGGATTTAGTGATTATCTTGTTATTCCATTTTTATGGATTTCTTTGTAGATTATCTTCAATATATGTCTCATAACTTATTTGTGGGTTTTAACAAGTTGATGGGTTATTTCTCCATTCTCCATTCTAGAAAATAATTTATGCTCAGGTTTCGCAAATTCATTTTCTTAGTCCAGATACCAAAAAGTCTGGATAATAATTGAGATTATACAAGCAATACTGATGATCCTAAACAGGAATATAGTGAGCAGTGAGGTTTTTTTTTTCTTCTTTTTTTGGAGTGGTTTTTGTTATAGGGCACATGCGCTCACCAGAAAGACAGAGAGAGGGGTCAGCAGGTGGCGTGGTCGTTAGAGCGTTGGAATTCACACATGGCCAACCATGCTTCGAGTCCCAGACCTGGTGGCTTGCTTTCTCAACCCCCCCCTTTCTCTGGCAAAACTCATGTGAAAAAAACAATAATAAATAAATAATTCTTTTAAAAAATCACTGGAATTAAAAAAAAAGACTTAAAAAAATAAAGAGAGAGACAGAGAGACAGAAAGTAAGAATTCACATCCCTGGAGGGATGGCCACACCACAGTCCTTTCTCCTTCATTCTCTTCTTGGGATCTTGGGCACGCACACGCACTTGGCGTGAGTTTAAGCCACCGGGTCCCGGACTCAAACTGCGGTCAACTACATGGGAGTCCAGTGACATAGCCATTACAACAACTGCTGGTCCCAAGCAGTGAGTTCTAAAGATTCTGAGCATGTTAGTTAAGCCCAGGGGAAAGGTTCTCAGTGTATAACTGCAGGTTTGCTGTAATAAAAGCTGCTAGGCATTCTGGTGGTTCTTAGAATGTGGCATCTGGACCAGTAGAATCAGTATAACCTGGGAACTTTTTAAAATGCAAATTATTATTTTTTTAAAGAGTTATTTTGTTGGGACTGGCAGGTGGCGTGGTGGTTAAGGGTGCTGGACTCCCACATGGCCAACCGTGGTTTGAGTCCCAGACCTCCTGGTGGCTTGTTTTTTCTCTCTCTCTCTCTCTCTCTCTCCCCTCTCTCTGTCCCTATCTGGTCAAATTAAAATAAATAAATAAAGTTAAATAAAATAATTATTTTTA